AATTCCCGTGAATGCAACCACCTATTTATGTTTTTTGCTATATATATATATATATATATATATATATATATCAGACCACTGCATGCTGCCAGAACAGGAACCATCACAGTCGAAGATATCAAACAGAGAGCAGCACACGTGAAGAGTTGGTCAGCCCCAGGACCTGACATGATCCACAACTACTGGATAAAGAAGTTAAAGGGACACTATAGTCACCAGAACAACTACAGCTGATTGAATTTGTTCTGGTGAGTAGAATCATTACCTTCAGGCTTTTGGCTGTAAACACTGTCTTTTCAGAGAAAATGCAGTGTTTACATTACAGCCTAGTGATAACTTCACTGGCCACTCCTCGGATGGCTGCTAGAGATCCTTCCTGGGTCATGGCTGCCTAAAATGCATCTAAACATTCAGTATCTCCTCTCTCTGCATGCAGACACTGAACTTTCCTCATAGAGATTCATTGATTAAATTTATATCTATGAGTAGGAGGAGATACTGAATGGCCAGGGCTGTGTTTGAATCATGCTGGCTCTGCCCCTGATCTGCCTCCTTGTCAGTCTCAGCCAATCCTATGGGGAAGCATTGTGATTGGATCAGGCCACCACTTCTGATGATGTCAGAGGTCAGAGGAAGTTCACAGGCAGAGGCAGCAGCTTCAGACTTAAATACAAGTAAGATTGTACTATCTTTAGGGAGGCAAAGGGGGCCACGGGGGCTAGATAGTGGTTTTAACACTATAGGGTCAGGAATACATGTTTGTGTTCCTGATCCTATAGTGGTCCTTTAACAGCACTGCCTGAACACCTAACAGCACAAATAAACCAGCTACTAGCAACAGGCTACCACCCTGACTGGCTAACACAAGGTAGAACAATACTGGTCATGAAGGGAATAACACCATCCAAATACCGACCAATAACCTGCCTCCCCACAACATGGCATCATAGCCTCCAAGATCCAAGGGCATATGAGTCAATACATGAGCAATACTCAGAAAGGGATTGGAAGCAACACCAGAGGATCAAAACACCAACTACTGGTAGACCAAGCATTCATAAGGGATTTTAAGACCAGACAGACCAATCTGTGCACAGCCTGGATTGACTACAAGAAAGCCTATGACACAATGCCACACATGGATACTGGAATGCTTGGCTCTCTAAAAGGTCAGCAAGACAAGACAAGCCTTCATCTGTCCTGATTTTATCCCGTTATCTTGTCCCCTGATTATCACATGTTTTTAAAAACGTAACTACATATTTTGTTCTTGCATTAACTGTTGGCGTTATCTTATTTCCTGCCTTAAAAATGGCTAATACACTAGATACTATGTTGAGAAATAGGTTATGCTCGTTGGTTCTTCCTTTTTAAAGGGAACTGTGCCCCCATGCAAGCAGGATCTACGTTACAATAGTTTTACGTATATAACTTATTACATTTGTGATTTAGTTACTCTTAAATAAATCAGGAGGTGGGAGGGTCTGGGAGGGAGGGTCTGCTGCTGATTGGCTGGAATGTGTCTGCTGACTGTGAGGTACAGGGTCAAAGTTTACTCAATGATGACATAGGGGGCAGACCGAACAGCGCATATGTTCGCCATCCGGCGAACCGTTCGGGACATCACTAATCATGAGCAATTTTACATTTTATGTTACTGTCATGATTTACACTGCTTGGTGTGTGCTATAAATGAGGTTCAACACTTCATATTATTCATATTATGGTGCAGGAGCACCAAGGTATCAAGCAATTCTTGTTTATTTGAGTGATGTGCTGCATTCTGCATCATTTGGTTCTATGAGCAGCCTTATTCGTGTTCCTGGTTTCATATGTAAATATATTTCATCATTCGGACTCCAATTGTTTTGCACCCCTCCCTGTCATAGGTGTCTCATTCCAAGGCTCTGTTTAACCTTGCACTGCAGAGAGTCTCAGGGGGGAGGATTTCACTAATAAGTGGGTTAATCTCATAAAAGCAGGCATAAGGTTGCTAGACTATGACCTGCTGAAAATGGGGTACATTATGGCAGTCTTATACAATGTATCTCTGTCTGCCTAAGTTTAAAAACTTTGTGAGATTTGAAGTTGTTGTTTAGTTTAGAGTGAGCGTGCCTTATGTTATATCCTATAGGCTTCAACCGACAATGTGTACTAAACTTTAGCTTATACGGCTTTCTAAAACTACTCTCAGAACACTATAATATATCCTCATGAGATAGAATAGAATCACAGGGCAAGAGTCTATTGTTTAGCTCTATTTTGGAATGAGGAAAACGTAGCCCTAACATCTTATATGTCCTACCCATAAGCTTAAGGGAAATAGAATGAAATTTTGAAAAGAAGTAGTTGTAGTACATGAGTGAGGGGGGGCATGGAAAAAATGAAGAGATAGTATTGGAATGGGGGAGACAGCAGGGACGAAAGGTGAGAAGAGCATTGGGAACGTGCGTCTAAAAGAGCGTTGAGAGAGGAAGCCCATTGGAAAGAGGAAAAAGAAGAGTGAGGATGGGTGGGTTGTAGTTTGAGGTGACAGACTGTAAGATGTGAGGTCCAGGAAATTTACAAAAGTTCAAAATACAAAAAAACTAGTTTTGCAAATACTTGCAACCTATTTATGTTCTTAAATATTGTATGGCTGCCGGACTAGCCTTTGATGTCCCTCGGGCATTTTTTGTCACCTGCTTACCACTCTTTTAATTAGTGTTTTCATTTGCCTCTAGCAGTGTTGCTTAGCAATGTGTGTGTCTGTAGGAGTACCTATCGGAGTTGCCGACAATGATTTATTATGTATCACTACTTACATACTGTACATAAATTGAATAATGGATGTACAAATAAAATGGAATTTAGAAGGTGTGTTGGACATGTATGGAAGGTTCTGCTCTGAAGAGCTTGCAATCTAACACACAGCATGCTTGACTTCCTTTTAGCAGTTCATATATGTATATGTGTACAAGCAATTTGTTGATTTTTAACATTTGAAGCTATGGCAAACATTAAAAAAATCTTGACATTTTATTATGAGGTCTATAACATCAGTTACTTTAACCATCTGGGTTGATATTGTATTTTGAAAAGTAGGATTAATTAGGGTTATTATGCTTATGTAGAGAAAGCGTGCTGGCTGAATATCGTGTATTAAGAACAGCTGGCTCGGGAAGACAGGTCATTGAAAATACATATTAATTAAGTCAGCAATGTGTCACCAATCACTACAACGTTTGTTTTGTAAATAATTTGTGAAGAAATATCTCTCTGTCAGCTGATTTCTGCTTCTTAGCAAAAGGGCACAAGAAGTGTTGGACAGTGGTATGTAGAATTCATATGCGCTAGCATGGATATCGGATAGCATTTTCACTTCTACAATATATAAATTCCACACACTGTAGGGCCGCCCTCTTCATTTCCTGCCCACCACCATCATCAATATGTTATGTGTGTTCTAGACAACTGATTGATGACAACAGATTTATTTATTAATTTCTTAGTTGGATTCTTGGGCCACCAGTAAGCCATAAAGTTTTATTCCTCTTGTTTTCCTCGCTGTGGCCATTACTCCATCCCAGGCAAAATCATCTCATAATTGATGACAATCTCAGCCAATTCAATGCTTCCTTGTAATGAAACATTGGGGGGTGGGGAGTTGTACACATGCACAGCAATCGCCACCCTGCACCTATCAGCATCTTAGCTCAGTGCGTCTCTGTGAGGAGCATTCTACATCTTCATGCAAGGCCTAAAGACACCAAACACCAGTCTTGCAAAGATTGAAGGACTTCACCATGTTGGGCCTCTAGTTGCTGTCTGAGTGACAGTCACAAGAGTTCTTTAAGTACAAATGTAAACACTGCCTTTTCTCAGGAAAGGTATTGTTTACAATACGTCTGGTGGTGAAAGGGTCCCTTTAATAATAAAGAGGCTGTATTGTAGCGGAGAGGTAGTACAATCCACAATATCTCCACTGGTAGACAGGAACAGCATACAATAATCCAGGTAGCGTTACAATAATCCCTTCCTCCCAAGAACTAGACGACACATAGTCTGGGAGTCAACTGAACTTTTATTCACGGGTCATGGTATTTATGCAGTTCCTCCTGCAAGGGGTTTATAAACTGGTATTGCAGGGGTTTTAATCAAGGGGTCTGTGTGGGAAACTGACTATGCAGGGTCATTTCCCACCATGCCCTGCTGTACTGGAGAGATAATCACCCAAGAATGTATTGTTAATTGGATTATCTCCCAGTGCAGCAAAATACAGTTTTTTATACAAAAATACATAACTGACATAATTTTCATGACATTTATCAGAATGACCCCTTTTTACATAGCTGGGATCTGAGCGCACCATCTGGGGAAATACCGCTCAGATCCCTGCACAAATAAACGAACGCTATTCGAATTACAACTTTATACGAATGGGTATTGACACGGACGAACATACCGGGTACGTTAAAATACCGAAAGAATGAGATGCCCGAACGGCCTGGAAGTCCAGCGGTGTTCGTGCCGTCGAGTAGCCGATTTTAGTTCCAGGCACTCGACCACCAAACACCGCTGGGCTTTCGTGAACAAAGATGGCCGCCGCAACGTGTTCGGTATACGAACGGCGGCCACACACAGAATACCTTAATTGACTGTGGATACATTGTATCTACCGTTAATGGGAGACACACAACCCTTGTGTGGTCTCCCATTCGGTATTTTATTCGTTTCACGAACAGCATTTAAACTCACTGTTTGTGAAACTACCATACGAATGCTTGGGGCTTTCGTGCCGCAAGCTTTCGAATGCTATCGGTCTGCTTATATTAGGGAATATGAATACAGGCATATACAGGCAGTCTTAAAGCAATCGTGCCCTATACATATAATGACAGTCTTAAGTGGCTAGGTTTGCCACATGTATAGATACCATTATTAGCGATATCTCATGCACTCTATTCTAAATAAGTGTGAATATCTAACAGCACATGATTTGAAATTTAGTTACGTCCTTATTAAGCGGTAGCATTTACAAATGCCCAGTGTGCTTTCATATGACCATTAGATACTCAAGTGTATCACCAGTAACTTCTGGAATAAAAGGGAATCATGACATGTCACACATGTCATGTGTCCTTATGGGGTTAAAGTTGTATTCCCTCCTTGTCCTTCACAACAGGAGTTTGGTTTAAACCAAAGCTTATGTAACTGTGGCCTCAATTTAATATTGTTGGGTAGGCTTTCCAAATGATATAATATTTTTGGATAAACATTTCAAATGATTTTTTCAACATGTAAATATATCAAAACATTTACCATATATATATATAAAATCTCAATATTTCAAAAAGCTTTCATTATTTTAAATAATTTTAAAAGCTTATACAAAAATATTAAAATTTTGGAAAATGTATCCAACAATTTTAAATCAAGGCCTATGTAACAAAAAAAAATTGATAACCATAAATGTGTTAAAATAACACTACATACAATACAATACAGTGAATAGATCTTCATAATAAAATGCCCTTGGACTATTCAATGCCTGCTGTTAGTTATGTTCAATAGTGTAAAGTGTTCTATTCTAAATGACTCTGTTGCTCTAAAGATCAGATGTGTCATGTATCGAAAAGTCAATATAGAAGAAGGCAAGCAGGTACATCACGCAGACATATATATAGAGAGAGCCATTTGCTGGTTTATGGTGAATATTCTTACATTTCATAATGCTTATGTTCTATGTTATGGGATTAACTAGGCTTTAACCAGCAGGTTAATTAGTTAAGGTAATCGGTGCTTCAGTAACTGCCATGTATCTGTGTTAACTAACCAACTCATTCTACAAATATATAAAATATGGCTCTCCCAGTATATTTTATACAGGGCTTTATTTAATAAACAATATATTATTATGACACAATAAAGATTGAAGAGTATGCTAGAAGACCGCCGAATTTGAGTTTTTATTCCAATGTAACAATTTTGACCTACATTTTGCGATGTGGTTTTCAATAAACTACAATTTTCACTTTAGTGCATAAAAACGCATGTATAAGCTTAACTGCATCATACTAAAGTAATAGAGAGGGCCCATAACGAATAAACATAAGTAAAGTAAATAAGAAAAAAGGAAGAAAAGGAAAAGTATAAAAGAAAAAATATAAGAAAAAAATAATAAGCAAAAAATAAAATAAAATAAAAGAAAAAAACAAATTAAAAAAATAAAAGAAAAAAGAAAAAAGAAAAAAATTAAATATTGAAATAAAAAAGAAAAATAACAGATAAAAATAAAAATAGAAAATAATAATAAAAAATAAATAAAGAAAGAAAATAAAAAGGAAAAAGTGAAAAAACTCATATGAAAAAATAAAAATAAATATAAAAATAAAAAGAAGGCAAGGTGATAATGTATGCAATTCTCTGATTCAAAACGCTAAACTCATTAGTAACCTTTTAGCATGGTGCAGTGGCGTACACAAAACCCATGGGGCGAAAAAAACTGATCCATGGGCCGGGGCCGCAACACATGGCGGCGGGCACCTGGTCGCAGGGGTCGCAGGGCTGCAACCCCTGCAACCGCGGTATGTACGCCAGTGCATGCAGATATACATACACTTAAAGGACCACTACAGACACCCAGATCACATCAGCTCAATGAAGTGGTCTGTGTGCCAGGTCCCTCTAGTTTTAACCCTGCAGCTGAAAACATAGCAGTTTCAGGGAAACTGCTATGTTTCACTGAAGGTTAATCGAGGCTCTAGTCGCTGTCTCATTGACGCGGAACGTCCTTAGGAAAGCATTGACTAATGCTTTCCTATAGGCGGTTTGAATGCGCGTGCGGCTCTTGCTGCGCATGTGCATTCGGAGCTGAGAGGCCGATCGGGGCAGAGGTAAGGTAAGTGCTGAAGACACACATATTCTCACAAACAGACGCATACACACTAGCTAACAGACACACACACTCTCACGAACAGACGCATACACACTAGCTAACAGACACACACATTTACTGACAGACACACATACACACTCACAGACAGACACATACACACTCACTTACAAAACACACACTCACTAACAGACACCAAAGAGACTCACTAACAGACGCACACAAACTAACACAGACAGTAAAACACTCACTGACACACAAACTAACACACCCACTGACACAAAAACTAACACACACACTCTAGCACTTACACATACACAAACACACTCTAACACTAACACACTCTAACACATACGCACACACTAACACACTCTAACACTAACACACCCACACTAACACACTCTAACACTAACACACCCACACCCACACACTCTAACACTAACACACACACACACTCTAACACTAACACACTCTAACACTAACACACTCGTGACGTCATCTTCCGGCTCCGGTATCAGTGTGGTGCGCGAGGGAGCTGAAGAGGAATCACTCAGGGAAGAGTGCTCCCTCGCGCCCGCGGGGTGACACCAGGGCCAGCCTCGGGGGGCACTGATGTGGCCAGCTCCTGTGCCCCCAGGAGAAGAGGTTGGCCACTGTGGCTACATACCGGGTCGCACCTGGTGGGCCGGGCCCAGTCGCAGCCGCGACCCCTGCGACCTCGGTATGTACGCCACTGGCGTCGTGTTAAATGTCAGTAGATCCGGGACACACAGCCTCTCCTCATTGTGTGCATGTATAGCACCGTTACTTTTTTCAGGCTCTTTGAATGTTCCACATTAAAATTGGCCAACTCTTAAAGGGGAATTGTTATTTCCCAGGATTTATAATATTATGTTTACTTATAGCAATATTTAACAAATATGTATTCGCGAGGTGTGAAAAATAAAATTAAACATAGAAATCCACATGCTTTATCCTCCAACTGGGCTTCTCCATCTTAGCTCCCATTCAATCATTCTTACCAGTTCTGTGCTTTGCAGTTAGCAGTCAGTATACAGAAAAGAGGAGAAATTAAACAAAGTTTCTGTTTTTCTTCTTAATTAGCAATATTTACCCTGGCTTTCCCTTGTCTTAAAGGGACACTATAGTCACCTGAACAACTTTAGCTTAATGAAGCAGTTTTGGTGTATAGAACATGCCCCTGCAGCCTCACTGCTCAATCCTCTGCCATTTAAGAGTTAAATCCCTTTGTTTATGAACCCTAGTCATACCTCCCTGCATGTGACTTGCACAGCCTTCCATAAACACTTCCTGTAAAGAGAACCCTATTGAGGCTTTCTTTATTGCAAGTTCTGTTTAATTAAGATTTTCTTATTCCCTGCTATGTTAATAGCTTGCTAGACCCTGCAAGAGCCTCCTGTATGTGATTAAAGTTCAATTTAGAGATTAAGATGCAATTATTTAAAGTAAATTACATCTGTTTGAAAGTGAAACCAGTTTTTTTTTTCATGCAGGCCCTGTCAATCATAGCCAGGGGAGGTGTGGCTAGGGCTGCATAAACAGAAACAAAGTGATTTAACTCCTAAATGGCAGTGAATTGAGCAGTGAAATTGCAGGGGAATGATCTATACACTAAAACTGCTTTATTTAGCTAAAGTAATTTAGGTGACTATAGTGTTCCTTTAATTCAAATATGAAATTTTAAAAATCATTAATATACATATAAAAGAAAACAGAGCATTGTGGAAAAAAAGGTGATTTCACAAAATTTCTACAAACGTGTAAATGCCAGAGAAGAGACAGTTCTTTTTTAAGGACCGATATTTAGTTACTGTCGCCACTCTCTGCATAAGTCCAGTCCGTGGAAGACCATTAAAACTTGAATCTTTCTTTAAAACAGTATTGAAGTATAGATTTCTGTCCTCATTCATTTGTCTCAATGATTTATTTGAACTTTGCATTTTCAACATGATCTATTCTGATGTCTTTCAAAATACAATTAAATAATGCTTATATAATTACTATTGCAATTAAGACATTAATAGCAACAATCAATTACTTCATCCAGGGTAATTACACCAACATGCATTTGAACGACTCTTAGATGAACACTTGTCTAAAATAATTATTACGGCTGATAATAAAGGTACACATAAAATGTTACATATTTTGCATGTCCGTAGTCTCCATTGAACTCTCTACGCTCAAATATACAGTGCCCTCCCCAAAGATATATATATTTATAAGCCTGTGTTGTGTTTGCAATTGTTTGAAATCTATAAAAGCAGAGTATTTCTGCTTATTTTTTTTAAAAACAAAAGATTAAAAGTTGAAACAATAATGACAATTTTTCATAGCCTTCTCTGCTCATTTTTACCAAGGGTGCCAATATTAGTGGAGGACACTGTAATTTATGGACTGGTCACTTGCAGGCGAAAGCTTGGATGTTCCGACAGGAAAAGCTAAAATCTAAAATCAGTGGTTCTTACCCTATTATTACAGGGACCCAAATGATATATAAGGCATAGGCCTGGAGACACATTATTCAATTAGATTACCATTTATAACAAAATAAATTCTGTAAAACACCTTCATTAGACTCTTCCCAGAGTCACAGAGAAAAGCGATGCTGTTACAGTATTTTTTTTTTCTATGGGACCTTGTCTGGGTAGTAAAGAAAATGTTGAATTTGTTCCATAAAAATAAAAGGATAGTCTGCATTTGTGGAACCGGTAGTTGAAGGGACACCATAGGCGCTCAAACCACTTCATCTCAATGTAATGGTCTGGGTGACTTGTGACCCCCTGTTTTAACCCTGCAAATGAAAATATTGTCATTCTGCAGAATGGGAATGTTTACATTGCAGAGGTTAAATGCCTCTAGTGGCTATCGCTCGAACAGCTATTAAAAGTTCTTCCTATGAAATAGCAGAGTAGAACTCTGCTATTTCAATCAGATGGTCTCATAGAGATCATTTGATTGCCACAGTGTGGCGTTTTGCTGTGCATGCACACTAGCCTCTGGGAAAGCATTGGATTGGCTGATATAACTGATCTCGATGATCTCAGCCAAGGAGCCGGAATGGCACCATGGATACCGGTGCTGCATGGGAGAAAAGGAAAGAAAAATACTTTTTACTTACTACCTACAGGTGGGGCCCAGGAAATTAAACAGCTACCATGGCACTATGAAATTAGGAATATACAATGCTCTTCTTGCTATGGGACTTGCGAAAGACACATACTTTGTACCAGATAATTTCCCATAAACAGATACCCACTGGCTCTGAGTTTAGGGTTCTTGAGGCCATGTGCCATTTTCAGGTAAATCATTAAGCCTCTTTCTTTTTGCCACAGTATTTCTCTTTTTGCTAATTTATCATGCAGGAATGCTCAGCCACCTCTGTTTTCTGGAACAAAAAATACACAGATAAGATAAGCGATAGAGTGTCAACTGAGTATAGATAACGATAACAGGCAGCAAACATTAATAGTAAGGGTTACCCTCAACTACTTACTGAAAGATATAGAAAAATCTATGTACAAAAAATATAGGTTGTGCCAATAGAAAGTTAAATTAGTCCACAATTGCTGGATTCTGTTCTCAACTGGTAACTGTCCAGACTTCAAATAGTGGGAGTATATGAAACAAAAGCAGAAAATAACCAGTGATGGTCCAAAGCGTATGGAACAAGGTACAGGTCATACAACAATAATGTATATGGTATATCACTCACATTTGAGAGCGCTATAAGACCAGCTCTGAGTTTAATGGCATGCAGCAGTACAATCCCCACGGATGGAAATGCAGATCTTAGGGGCTGGTCCCTCATTGTATCGTTTGATATATAAAAGATAAAAATGACAAACAATAGTGCTCACTGTAATAAATGTCATAATGGTTGTAAAAGTACACATATTCTACTCACATGTAGTGGAGCAGTAGATCCTGCTCAGATGGTAACGCATGGGTGGTATAATCCCCACTAAGGATAAAATGTTGAGTAGATTCTTCAAGGAGTTGTATCCAAAGTTTCTTTATTAGGTACTTTTTTTAATGCAAGGAACAGAAGAACATAAAAAAATAAGAAAAGCAACTAAAAGCATAAAAAGTGTAATAAACGGGCAAACACAACTAGTAGGGAATGGCAAAAAAAAAAAAAGATTAAAACAATACAACGCGTTTCACCAACTGGGGGGGCTCTATCAAGTGTAGATAATTGGGGCCTGGCACTCAGGAGTTTATATAGGGAATAAGGTTCTCGGACTAAGCACTCCCAGGTATGATACTGCAGCCCTTAACTGCCCTCTTCTTGCCCGATTCAGTCTATGCAGAAGATAGTTTTCTGAGCATTCGATGGGTAATGTTTAGCCCATAGTTACCTTTAGTGCAACCGTATTACAATGGTATCTTTATTTAAAAAACATTTTGCTTCATTTGACATACTTATCTACCCAAGTACACCCGATATCACATTGAAATCAGTATAGTCCAAATTGTATATGATCCATCCGTCACGATTTCAAATAAAAAATTAATATAATAAAGAAAAGGACATCATTTTATGGGTGAAAATGAATTGGTTAAAAATGTTGCTTGATTTAATGTATTGCTGTTTTATGTCTGCCCTTTATATTGATTCATAAAAAGCGTAATAAACTTTCCAAATCTTGTTGACATTTATGGTGTTTTTCCTTCAACTGAAAGTCATCTTGAAACGTACCTTGTTGTCAGTTCTTCTTTCCTCGGAGACACATAACAGAGAAAAGAACAAGTTTTATATCATAATATTCTATTCTTCAGGAAATGCGAAGATAAAAGCAGTGATAGGCAGCGCAGATATTAGAATCCCACAGAACTCAATATTTCTCAACAGAGGAACTATTCTCATTTTGCTTAGCAGAGGGAGGTGATTTTTAATCTGGCAAACAGTATATGAGACAAGTTCAACCAAGGCTAACAGCCTGTTCTTTAGGATAATGCCCAATTGGAAGCATTTTTCTCCCTTTTCTGCTTGCCTCTGCCTTTGTAGAGAGAAATTTCAATTATATCAAACTGATCCAGAGCTTTAACCCCTTAAGGACCAAACTTCTGGAATAAAAGGGAATCATGACATGTCGCACATGTCATGTGTCCTTAAGGGGTTAAAGAGATTCGGACCCAAAACCCAAGATAAGTGACTACTGCGCAATACACCAGGAGATACTGTACAAAAACTATGTTTAGGACTATTTTAGGTAGAATTTGAATGTTAGAGGCTTCATGCCGCAGATTGCTTGTTAAGGTAATGGATGCAGTTATGAATAATTTAGACATCTGTGAC